ACACCAATCCACAAAGTCCTCCTCCACCTCACAAAACATATGCAATGATGCTGACTGCAAGAAGAAAGCCGAATCAGTGAGCGTGTAAGCATGTCAACATTGGTGGGGGTCTCCATACGGGTGCTCCAGCACCCAGGGCTGCATCGGGGTAGTTCCATGGGGCTTCTCCTCAGGGATGTCTTGCAGGAAGTGAGCCTTGCAAGCTGAAGCAGGGAACTGGCTAAGGCAGCTAGCTGCACCCTGGTCTGACCATCAGAAAGCAAAAGACCCGAGAACTCGAAAGGCGAGGCTCACCAAGCCATTTATCCCTCTGCCCTTCAATTAACCCCACATGTGTTTATCAGCCAGGTTGGCACAATAGACTTTAACTAACTCAAAGCTATTGTAGTACATGTTAGCATATGTGTTAATATTGAAGTATGAGGTCATCTTACTATGAAAATTATGCCATCTTACGGCTTTGTTGCCTTATTCATTGCTTTAATTAAATTTTGCCTTATTCGTTGCTTTAATTAAATTTTGGAAACCCTGATGTGCTTTTCAATGTATGGATAAATTTAATACGGATCTGTAGGGTCTTTTTAGTTTTACTTCTCTTTGTTTTGGAAAGCTATAACTAAGTTGACAAAGCACGTCACAATCAAGGAAATAAAGAAAGGCGGTGTATCTATCAGGTTCACTAGGAGGACACCGGGCTTCTCACTTGCCTTGCTTCTTTTCAGGAGCTATGATGTCACCTGGGAAGTAGCCAAATCTAAATCATAAGGAACAGGTTGTAATGGTTCCACTTCTTTGTTAATAACTAAACAAATTCTGTTACCTGCATGAACCAAAGTTCGCAGTCTCCTCTGCGCCAGAGTGTGTGACTGCCCTCACTTGGTGTCCACCCGAAGCAAACATGGCAGCGAGTCAGTGATGTCTGCGCCAGAGTGTGTGACTGCCCTCACTTGGTGTCCACCCAAAGCAAACATGGCAGCGAGTCAGTGATGTCGGCATCGTCATCATCACTTCTTCAGGTTTTGGGTTGCAAACAGTTGTAGATCTAAACTTCACTTCCAAATTTTCCAAATGGAAAATTGCATTCCTCCCACTTGCCAACGACGATATTCCTTGGACTGTCTTCCGGAGTGTCTCTTCCTCCTCACGTCCAGTTTTCCTTTTCCTCTTGTCTTCGCACTGACTGTGCTGCTGATGGTCAGCGTTCGCCCTCGTTTCCTTTTCCTCCACTTGTAGCACCAGTAGTGTTCCGGACGTTTCAGTGGAAGGGAGTTTTGGATGTCACTCTTCCATCCCTGATTTGATAGCGGAGGGAACTGAGAAGAATGAAGAGCATGCCTGTACTCACTCAGATCACTGGAGCGGAGCCACCCCGTGCCTCAGCTCTCCCCTCTTCCAATGGCCTCTGTTGTTTGATCGGAAGGGACAGCAGAGTGTTGTGATGTGGACACTGCTCAAGCACACTGAGCTCTTGCGTTTCGAGACTGGGGTTTCCTTCAGCTGCTTCTTGGGTTGCCATAGAGTTAGAGGAGCAAGGAGGCATGGGCGTTACTTGAAAAACAGAGAGTCCAATATCCAAGTAAAAGATTATAGTGAGGACAGTTTTGAACTTAAGTTGGCAACTAAGCTCAAGATCTAACCTCTCAGTGACTAGGACTTCAGCAGTTGGGAATCGGCTTCTCCCAGTAACGACCTAACAAAACCACAGGACAGATAGGCATTATAGTGCCTGGAGTTTTCATTGGCTTAAAACAGAGGGGGAGTATGTGCGTTATCTTTAAAAAGTTCATAGAAAAGGGTCATTATCTTTTCATTCCATTTTCTCATTAATTTTTTGAAGTCTCCTTGTGCACTTCTGTGCAATGTTTCAGGAGCCCTGGTGGAATGGTGGACTATGGCTTGATCTGCTAAGCACAGGGTCAGGTAGTTCCAACACAAGAGTTGCTCTGCACAAGAAGGATGAGATGGCCCATTCCCGTGAAGACTTTATCTCAGAAACCCAAAGGGGCCTGTAGGAGCCCCATGAACCAGAACTTGATGGCAGTGAGTTTGGTTCTGGCTTGGTACAATATTTAACTGCATGTGCTGTTACTCAGAGAATCACAGGACTGAAGGAATATGGCTCTAGGGTTTCCACGGTGGACATCGATAATGAATGGCACATGCTTACAACATTTGGATTTGACCTTTTAAATACAAAAACCCCAACAGCTGCTACCAGTGGATGAGAGGTGCCAATAGACGGTACATCTAGTTGACAACCTGGCCAAGAGTTACATTGCTCTATTACTTAAACAGTAGCTGTTTGATCTCAACAACAAAAGACACTGTTTTTCAGTCCGAGGCACCCACCACGCTGTCTATCATTGACAAATATTATTGCCAGAAAAACCACAGCAAAGCAGAGTTGTCAATAATATGATGAAGCAAATGAATTATATTCAGTAAAATTATTATCAGTGAATAGCTACAATGGTTTGCACAACATTAAAAAATAATAATAGCTGCTATCAAGTCAGTTCTGACTCATGATGACCCATGTGTGTCAGAGTAAAACTTTGATCCACGGACTTGTCAATGGCTGAGTTTCCCAAAGTAGATCCCTGGGCCTGTCCTCCCAGACCCCTCGGAGAGAATGCTGATAGCCCAACCCTTGCGTTGTCAGCAAAGCACGCACTCACTTGTGCCCCCGAGGACAACAAGTTTAAGTAATAGAAGATTGTATATTTATTTTTACCTAAACTTGCAAAGTATGTATTTTTAAAAGTTAATAATAAATAAGCCGCCAAACCAGAATTTGTTAAAAGCCACACCGTGAGTTCTACTACCAGGCTGCCTGTGGAACTGCAGTCTCCTCTATGATTGGACAGCACAGTAGTGTTTGCATTTCCATTGCAGTGCTATGAAAGAGCAGTCTGTAACCAAAGCCCAAGACTGAAGTTACCTACCTTTACTTTTTCCAAGCCTTTTCCAGCATGTTCCAGCCAATCTTGAATACAGAACTCAGAGGCATTCTCTGGTGTCTTGTGTTAATCATCTGCTTTTGCAGGGTGATCTTATCCCATCCTAGGGATGGGGTGCATGAAGAGGCCCTTCAGAAGACCCATTCCAGTGTGCTTGTGTTCAGCAAGGCAGGAGGCTTAAAGGCATTCCAAAGGCCAGACTCAAAAGAGTTGTAAAGAAGCAACTATGCAGAGAAAATAATAGCAACATTTTTAGTTATGTTTTAGAAAAGTGGCCATGTCTGGCAGCTCTTATTAAACATGGACATACAAGAGGGTACCCCCCAAAACTGGAATTTTTTTCTCTAAGCTATGCATTTAATTTTTTTTTTTTAACAAAACTTCCTTATCGCCTTCAAAGTACTCTCCATTACTCTTGATATATTTGTCAAATTTGCAATTCTATTCTTGGAAACATTTTTCAAACTCATTTGTTCATGTCCTTCTTCATTTATGGAAACAAAGAGAAGTTATGTGGAGCGAGGTCAGGTGAATAAGGTGTGTGGGGCAAGAGAGACGTGCTGTTTTTTGACAAAAACTGGTGCACTGAGATGGCTGTGTGAGTAGATGCATTGTCGTGGTGGGAAAACCAGTCCACCATCTGCCACAAATCATGCCTTTTTTGTTGCACACTGTTATGCAATCTTTTCAGAACCTCTAGATAGAGAGTTTGATTAACAGCCTGACCTGGTGGAACAAACTCCAAATGCACCATGAGTCGACATTTTCATCAGTTTGGGAAATTGACGATGTCTAGAACCCAATTTGCCATCAATCGACATTTTATCTATTTTGAAACAAGAAAACCACTCATACACTTGAGTTTCCCCCATAGTGCTGTCCTTATAAGCTGTGTTCAACAACACAATAGTTTCTGTGGCATTTTTCCCGAGCAAGAAACAAAATTTCACAGCTGCATGCTGGTCTCTTAAATCAGCCATCACACAAAACAAGGTTCCAGAGAAACTGTTTTCATGAAATAATTCACTCTGATCAGAGAGAACCTTCCCAGGGGACGCCACTGGGTGCACTAACTCAGAGTGAGTTGCTAGATGCTCACTTTTGGGGTGGGGGGGGGAATGCCTGCCAGAACAGCTCTCCCGGCAGAGCTTTTTCCTGTTGTTGTTGTTGTTTTGTTGGGGGGGGGTGTACCTCCTCGTATATATATATATGTTTATTCCTATAAAGAGTATGCATATTACAAATGCCAATAATATGTTGGTAGAGAAATTCTTTGTGGTGGTTTTCTGTTATATTTTGGTAAAATTGGTGCTAAAATCATGTCTATATGCCAGAAAATTCTGACTCCTTTTGCCGTCTGTTTTTCTTCTTCTTTCTTTTCCCCTCTCTCCTTTCTGTCCAGCAGTAATCTATCTTGGGCTGCTGGCACAGTGTTATTTTGATGAGTGACTCACTAATGTCTCTTGTTAAGTCCATTTACATTTTCATTTTAACCTTGTTTGGGAGTCGCTGAGTTTGATACTCTGTTTTAAGCCTCTTTGGGGGCAAAATTGACCTCCTTGTCCTTCTTCTAGCATCTTAACAAAAGGTGCATTTATGTAGAATCTCATTTAAATGGCCTTGGCCACTTTTAAGAAAGATTGAATATATTTTGGCTCCAGCTTCAACATTCAATTAATGCTTTGTTTTGATGTAATGACTATTCCAGTATGTAATAATTGTTTGTCCAATTTGTCTGCTGCAAGATTGTCTGGCCAACAGGTATTTATTTGCCAAGCAGCCACATTTCCAGTCTCTGTCGCCTCAGACACTTTCCTTTTCCTCCTTTGAACACCCACTAGTGGTCGTACAGTAAGAAATGGTTCATTTGAAGATCGGGTCCTAATTGTCTTCTAAAGGAAAATTTAAAAGAGCGGCACTGAACTGTAGCACGACCATAAACCCAGGTCCTTGTTTTGTTCTAAGGTCTACGTCCCTGCTTAGTGAAAATTACCATCCCTTTGGAGTGCGGTCAAGTATGGAGGTAGCGTCTACAGAATAGTAAGATCAAAAGCCTTATGTCTGAGGTGGTAAGAGGAGGATGAAAAGGCATTCCCAGGCAGCTTCTCACTATTAAATCCATTTTTGCCTCAATCTGTAGAATTAATAAAGTGTGTATCTATCAGCAAGATTTGAGGGCTGGATTTGGGCTGGATCTGACCTCAATTATATATCAGGAATTTTGTCTAGAAGAGATTCAATTACAGCAGTGTCAACAAACTGAATCTCTCTCTCACACACACACACACACACACACACACACACACACACACTTTAAAGATAGATAGGTCAGGGATGCTATAGCAGTTCCACAGACACATCAGAGATTCAGGTTCCTAACTTTTCTTCTACAGCAGTGGTTCTCAACCTTCCTAATGCCGCAACCCTTTCATACAGTTTCTCATGTTGTGGTGACCCTCCAACCATAAAATTATTTTCAGTGCTTCTTCGTAACTGTAATTTTACTACTGTTAGGGGAAACCTCTGTGAAAGGGTCATTTGGCCCCCCCAAAGGGGTCGTGACCTACAGGTTGAGAACCCCTGTTCCACAGTACCCTATGCAAATGACCTTTTTCCTCAAGGTCATCAACTGGCTGCTGAAGCTCAAGCTTTCAGGTCTAAGTTCCAGGCAGGATGAATTCAGAGGGCAAGGAACAAAAGGATTAATAATCTTTCCAGTTATCCTGCCCAGTGAATTCTTTAACCACCCTTAACTGCAGCGGATGTTGGGAAACTATAGAATCTGTTACCAAGGATGAAGGAAAACAGGACTATAGGATGGGCAGCCTGGAATCTGAGTCTTACCAAACCATCTCATTGATTTCACTTTTATTTCAAACTGGTCTTTATGTAGATGTTAACAATGGCACCTGTTTGCTGACCACTGAGAGGCAGCTGGTGCTCCCCACCTCAGCTCTGTGTTTCCAGCTGAGCACTATCGATGTGTGGAATTTGTCTCTCCGGGACTCCTTTTCCTCGTCTGTAGAAGTGGGCTTGACAATTGTAGCTGCTTCATAGGTTTGCTGTGAGGGTTAAGTAAATTAATATATGTAGAAAAAGGCTTAAAATGGTGTAACTGCAGCAAAAATGCTTGCCATTATTATTACCATTATTGTTTAAGTTGGTTCTCCACAGGTGCTAAGCTTTAGATACATCATCTCAGATTGCACTCAAGACCACTCGGGCAGATAGCTCCCCATCTCTTTTTAGCTGTGGAGACAGGTTTGTGCTTTGCCCAGCGCCAGTCACTGGTGTGTGCAAGAATCCCTGTACATTTGACTGCAGAGCTCTGCTCCCCCAGACCTGCACTGTCCAACCTGAGAGCCGCTCAGCACAGATGGCTGATGGGCACTTGAAATGTCTCTCTGAACCAAGATGCTTAGTAAGTGCAAGAAAGTGTAAAAAGCTCTTGTTAATTGGTTACAAGCTAAATGAGTACAATTTTAGATATATGGGGTTCAATAAAAAATGTACTATTAAAATATGTCTTGCCTGTCTCCATACTTTCAAACATCGTGAGTACTGGCAAGGTTTAAACTACATACCTGGCTCAGTTTACCCTGATTTGGATGCTGAATCTGGCTGTTGCCGTAAATAAGGTGATCAGACATCCTGCTTTTGGCGGGACAGTCCCGATTTTTAACAATTTTTCCTGCATCCCACGGCATTTTTTAAAAGTCCCGAGTTTTGGAAAGAATGCACGACAAGCTAGGCTATACGGTTTTCAGCTGCTATGTGGCTATTTCGCCAGGATATGAGTTTTATCAATGGTGTCCCGCTTTACCAATGTTAAAATCGGGTCACCTTACGTAAAGATTTACAGTCAGGGACACCCTAGATAGGGTCAGTGTACATCACAATGGAGCCCGGTCTTGTAGGGTCACTATGAGTCAGCATTGACTCGATGGCAGTGAGTTATAAGTCTTGATGGCAATGAGAAAAAAAAGATGGCATAGTAGTGGCCTTCAGTGCTATAGGTAGCTGCCTCTCTGTCTATTTATTTTTATGTGCATATATTCTAAGAAATGCTTAAGATGACCATAAAGAAAATTATCAAATGATTTCTAGGGAGTTTTGTGGTCAACTCCAGCCTCTGCCCAATTATATATGATACTGAGTTGCCCTCAGGGTTCTACTGCAGAATCCTTCAAGCAAGCCTCAGCCCAACAGCCCAGGGAAATTGACAGGTCCTCAGATGCCGCAGGATAATTGCAAGGAGAAACCCAGTAAACTAGGATAAGGTTAATCACATCCTCTAAGTACTTATTCACCAAGCCTATTGTGGGGCCCACTGGGCTGAGGGAGACTTTCCCCTGCCTCTTCTTTCCCAACTTTCCAGTAAACTTCTCCACCCCTGACCAAGTGCACTGCCTTGACTTGCCGGGATTCCATCACCTCCCAGCCTCTTCCCCCAGGGACCATGCCCTCCTTCAGCTACTCCACTGCTGCAGCCACCAGCTCTGTTCAGAGAGCTGATCCGCCCCAGGCATCCCCCTCCTGCAAGCCCTGCTGCCACTCTCCCTTTGTCGGCTGCTCTGTGACCTCGGCTTTGTGTCAGGGCTTCATGCCCCAACAATAGTGGAGGGTTGAAATGGGCTTCTTGAAGCCCTAGTCCTGCTGAGGAGTTTTGTTTTTAAACATCATAGCCTTCTTTTGCTCTGTGCTGCCGAATCTGAAACCATTAGTAACCAAAAAAGCCATAAAGTTTAGGGCTCTTCTGTATTGCCCATCTTGCTTTAGTTGTATCCTGTGTGATTTCTGGGCGTGAGTTTATAGGAATCATGAAATTGGGTTTCTCTCTCGCTCTCCTATTAAAGCTGGATTTTCAAATCCTTTGGGAGCAATAAAGCTTTCTATTTTACCAGGCTCATAGCATCTCTAAGCCTCATTAATGGAGATTCACTATGCAAATCCACTTAATAACTCATTGAGTCCTTGTCTACAGCCCATGTGCCCATTCCCACCCCTTATTTCCCCAGGTAAATTAATGTAGGCATTTGAAGCTGGCTGCTGGAACGACCCCGCCTGTCTGGAGCCAATCCATCATTGGCCAGTTTATTCAAGCCAGGGGTATGAGAACACAGCCTAAAACCATTAAGTGTGCGATGAAAATTCCCACAATTTCCATTAGTCCTATAGATCAGCGGTTCTCAACCTATGGGTCGCAACCCCTTTGAGGGTCGAATGACCCTTTCACAGGGGTCGCCCGATTCCTAACAGTAGCAAAATGACAGTTATGAAGTAGCACCGAAAACAATGTTATGCTTGGGGGGTCACCACACCATGAGGAACTGTATGAAAGGGCCACAGCATGAGGAAGGTTGAGAACCACTGATAAAGATGATGACTGCGCAGCACCAAGCTCTCCCTCACTGTTCCCCTTATTAAATACAGCACTGCAAGTTTGGATTTTGTGTTCCCAAAGAACTGGAGGGCCCTGTGACTGATGGATCCTGGGGAAGGTGGAGTCACTTTGGAACCTGCTCGCGGACTTGTGGAGGGGGCGTCAAATCAGCGGTTCGAGAGTGCAACCGGCCTGAGTAAGTCCAGGAGCATGGCTCTGATTTTGGGGGATATGGAAGGGGAAACTCCACATAGGGATCACTCATCTGGAGACAAATGGAGAGCACTTTGCAAGTTAAACTGGTGGGTCCCAGGGCTGCCTACGGACGGCACACATATCCACCCTCTTTACTTCTCCCATCGACCTTTGTTGGTGTGAGTTGTGTCTGCTCAACAAGTTGTGGTGTCCAGTGGGTTATTTTACAGAGTTTTGCCCTGTCCTCCCCAGTTTGAAAAGCACACTATTAATGTGAACACAGAAATGGGACGTTTTCATTTGGGCTGTAGGTCATGGGTTCCTATTCGTTGACTGCTGAAATGTGCTCACACGTCCCTGAGGCTGCGTTTTCAGACTCCAGTGGGACCGGGGACCCCACACTGGGACCATGTGTTGGAGTCACTGTAGTTGTTTTACAGGGAGCACACTCTTGGTTTGAAGACTGGGAATCTTCCGCCTCTGGGCGGGTTCCCATTTTGTGACCTTGGTGCTCTCTACCAGCCCAGCAAGGAGTTGTGTCTTTGTTTTACCCCAGCCACGCACATGTTTGCTGGGGAGGGAGCGGTTCACAAGTCTTGAAGAATTGCAGTTGTCACTCTGAGGAATGACATCCAATCGTGTGTAGATCTAAGATGTGTACATTTTAAAGTGATGGGAAATTCACACTCAGGAAAGCAAAAATCATAGCTTGGAAAGTTCTCAGAAGCACGACACATAGATCTTTTACAGTCTGGACCACCCAAGGTGTCTCCATCGGCAGGGCTGGTCTATAGGTGTGTGATGGCACCAGGTATCTGTGAGAACCACATTGGCCTGGGATGGTTTAGATTGATTTTGCCCATCTGCACGCAGTTCTTTTTAGCTGCTCTGGTTTTGGAGAAAAGTAGACTCTGTTTTGGAGAGGAGTCCGCAGGGCAATAAGGAGGGAAGTGGACTTGTGCAGTGTAAGAGGTCATGTTAGAGACCAAAAAGAGGGGAACTACCCAGATAGTAGATAGTTTCCCAGCAAGAAAGGGGCCTTTTCAAGTTACATAAGAAAAATCTGAATAGTGTGAACCAAAAAGAATGTAGCTATAGGCTACCAGTTTGCAAGCCCTGTTCTAAGCAGTTGTGTTACAGTACAAATCCCAGATAAAGGTCAATGAATTTTGCTTTTGTTTGCAATGCACTGTTTATTTCTTGTGTAATACTAGTCTCCGTAGAGAGCAGCTGAAGAGCTGTGCACCCTAGGCTGTGCTCCATGTAACTAATACTATAGCTGTGGATATAAGGTAACGAACACCAACTTTTCTGTAAATCTTATATATTTTCTTTAGATTTAAAACATAGTACATACTTTCAAAAATTCAAATGGAGATGTGTATTATAAAAAACGTTTCTGACATCATTATTCCTAACCTATGCACACTGTCCTTAAGAGTAAGCACTAAGAAACGATTAGTTGTATATCTTCTGGTTTTTTTCCCCTCTAAGATTATAGATGTACTGTATATATTCGAGTATAACCGAGGCACCGAAATTTACCACAAAAAACTGGGGGGCTTTTTCAGCATAGAAAATGTGCTGAAAAAACTCAGCTTAAACTCGAGTATATATGGTA